GCGACTGAGCAGCTGTCGCATATGTCTGTGGGCTAGTTTTTGTGTTCCATATGTTACACCAAATTTATTTTAGAACCTTATCGGGGAGAAGCCTGATTTGCTCAGGGTTACAGTGTTTGCTAGGGTCAGGCCTGTGCCCAAGCATATATGATCACAGAGTTTGTTCTGTGTCATTTAGATATAGCCATCCAGGGCATGCGACTGGGGCAGCTGGGGCAGCTTGCTGGTGAAAGTGACAAGACATGACAGTTAGGGGAGCGGTATTGCAGAGAGACCCCGAGGGTGTGTTGGGTCACGGGTGCTCGGGTGAGCTGAGTGTGACTACCTGTGCTGCTTTTCTGTCGCCGTGATGAAGCACCACAGCCAGAGTCAGTTTATGGAAGACGGTTTAGTTTTGGCCCACGGCTCCAGAGGGATCAGAGTCTGTTGGCAGGGGGACAGCATGACAACAGGCTGCAGGCATGGTGCAGAATCGTGAAGCCCAGAGATGACATCTTTAACTGTAAATGTGGACCAGAAAGCAAACTGGGAGTCGGGCGGTATTTCCCTATAAACGTTGCCAAAGAGCTCCATCAGCTTTTCAAATGCCTTTCACCTGTGTATGCTGTTCAGGCTCAGAACACAGGCTTGGAAGTGAGACCCCCATGTACAGTAGGGCAATGGGAAGGTGTCTTTAAAAAAAAAAACAACCCAGAGGTGCCAGGGTGGCAACAGGTCTTTAGGGAGGCCTGGGAGTGGTCAGTTGTAGACACCCCAGCTCTCAGGTGGCCTTGAGGGGCATGGAGATGCAATGCTCTTTGTTCTTTCTGCTCCTCAGAAAGAGCTGGGGCTGCAGTCTTTCTCCCGGGGAATCTGTAGGCTGCCAGGGGAAGATGCTCACAGCAAATGCTGTCATCACCTGGGTGACAGCAGTGAATGCAAATTGGATAGAATGGGGGCACGGGCTTCAGAGCTGCCAATATTTTAGTCGTATATTGTAGCCTCTGCTCACCCAGCACACGCCTTTCTCAAGGTACGTGGACTATGGACGTATCACGCACACACAAGAGGCCGTGGTTGCTGTCCCTGGCTCCCCTTAGCTTGTGAACTCTGGCCTCGGTTTTCACATTTTCTACTTTTCTTGTCAGACTTGTGTTCTCAAACCATTACTGATCTGATGCAGCACCAGGCAGTGCTCCTAGAACACCATTCTTCCTGAGCAAGGGTGCTGTGAGGGAAAATCACTAAAGTGAATCATATGGCTTTCGTGTCAACTCATTGAGTCCTCCAGATGCCTTTTGACTTGGAGACTGTGTAGGGGAGAAGAGAAAGGGTCTCTTAATGTGTGTCTCTACTGAGAAGGATCTTGAGCCACATCAGTGCTTAGGGGAAAGACGCCTGGGATTGAGGCTATGGTGTGGCCATACCTTTAGGAGTGGGTAGGCATGGTGGTATCTTGGTGACATGACATTTGTCACCCTTCAGAGGAAAGGTCTCATGAATGGGGAAGGTGAATGTCAGGGATGTGAGGGAGGGAGACACCTTGGTTGTGACTCTTTGGGGTCACCGAGGAGCAACTGGAGCTAATGGGAACCTGGCAGTCATCCAGTACCCAGAGCACTGGGTTCATTCGTGGATTGCTCAGCTTGCAATAGATGGCTTTTGATAAGAAATTGTCACAGTATTGCACAGAGGTGTGTAAGTCCTTGCTCCTTGGCTATTAAGCACTGTGCCACAGAGTTCTTATTCCTCTGTAGAGTATGTTGTCTTCTTCCTAAGCAAGGCTTTGATAGGGCCAGGAGCCTGGCTTTCCCTACCTCCTGTTCCTTGGGTAGACTTGCTCTCTTTTCTGTTGCTCTGTTTTCTATTTCAAGACTTTGCGAATGTTCTCAGGTTAAAAAAAATCATATCTGTTGCTAAACAGAGTACATTTCCAAAAGCCTTTGTGGAATTTAAGGTTCCAAGAACATTCCCGTCTCTGAGACAGTGTTATTTTTTTTTCTTCTCACCTATAATTACAGTTTCCATTTTTTACCCTGGTGGCAGCTTCGTAAGTTGTGGCTGGAGCTTGTATCTGGTCCCTGAAGGCAAACAAGGTGGGAGTGGGGAGCATTAAGTCAATGTGGTCCTGGAGACTGGGTTTGCAGTACCTTATCTTAGGCCCTGGCTGTGCTGAGGCTTGTGTCCACCAGCCAAATGATGCAGTTTGGACTCGGAGTGGAGGGGGGTGATAAAGAACATTAATAAGCCATTAGCTCAAGGTTCTGAGACCTCAGGGAGGTACCCAGTGGAACTGTGGAGTTGAAGGCTTCCCTAGAAATATGACATTTGTAGCCCGGCTCCTCCAGGCTATAGGTGAGGATCTTGTGGGTCCTGGCGGCCTGGCTTCAGGTTCATCCACCTTATCGGTCATCTTGCTTGTTCTCTGGTCCCTGCTGGGCTTTGCCTGGGCATGGTGTTGGCGTCAGCTCACCAGAGGGCAGGGGCAGGACTGACATTTCCATGCTGCCTGAGCTGGGAGATTATCTTCTTCCTATGTCTGGTCTTGGGTCACACCCATCTAGTTTAGCATCTTCTGCCTCTTAGGTAAAGGAAGGTTCAGGGTGGCTTTGGCCTCCACACTTCTCAGTTTTCTGGGAGTTGATGTGGTAGCCAGGAGGAACCGAGGTTAGGGGAGGTCCAGGCAGAGGTCCGGGGAAGCTGTTGTGCATCTGTGCACAGTGGAGTTGAAGGCACTGTAGCAGTACTAAAGTGGATGACGTCCATGGGGACGTATGGTGTCCTCTGTGGGTGTGAAGCAGACCCTCTGTGGGGCAGCAGCTGCCCTTTGAGCTGCTCAGGAGCAGCATGGAGGCAGCCCTGGCCCCTCAAGCCCAGCCTATGGCCTCCTGCTTCTCCTCTGCCGCAGTGCTATAGTTGAAGTGTGTCCTCGTGAATCTCGGAGCCCATTGTGGGTAGTGCAGTCACTGTACCTTTGTTCTTGTATCCACTTGGGTATTATTTACAATCCACCAGTCACGACCAGTGAAGGCATCTGAGGTCACATTTTACATGCCCAACTTCGAGCCCCAGTAATCTGTCACTATAGGGGGAGGCCTGGGCACAGCACCCACTTTCTTTAGCTGAATAGACTGTTAACTTATGGGAATGTAGCTCGGTGTTAGAGAATTTGCCTAACATGCCCTGAATTGGATGCACTGCACTGCAGAAAGGGGAAAAAATAATAGTTGAAGGCTGGTGTTGGGTTGATGAAGAAAGATGGATTAGGTTCTTGTCCTGAGCCGCAGTGGAGAACACCTGTGGTATTAAGCAGGAGCCAGGCAGCCTAGCCCACACCCATCAGAGGCTCAGAGGAACCCACAGCCTGTCAGTGGTAATCTCAGACCTACTGTTAAATTCCAGCCCCGTAGCACTTCATCTACAATGATGTCTGTGAATGTGTTTTCTTTGTGTTACTGGGATGCTAAGTGGGTGGGACACAGCAATCTCTTCTGTGACATTGTTTTGGTGAATGTCGAGAGACAAGATAGTCCCAGTTCGCTTTGAATTCACTGTGTAACCTAGAATGACCTTTAACTTCTAATAATTATGATTCTACAAGTGTGGAGATTGCAGGCATGTATCACACCCAGTTTTATTCCTTGCAGGGGGTTGACTCTTGGATGTAGTGTATGCTAATAAGCAAGCCCACAGACATCTGTGACTTTTGGCTCCGCCCCACTGGGAAGATCCTTGGAAAGTGTGTACAGACATGGCCAGAGTTGTTTCTTGTAGCATTTGCTTTGCTCACTGTGGTACAAGGCTCAGCCACTGAAAAGCCACGGAGGAAGGTGGCAGAAAATTGTGGTGCAGATGCCTTTGACTAAAGCACTTGCTACTTTTCTTTTGGTCTTGAATGCAGCCACCTTTCTTTCAGACTGAGCAGATAGTTTTTAAAAAAGGTTTCTTAATGAAAGCTGTGTAAATTAGTAGCTCTTAACCCCCCCCCCCCATTTTGAGTGTGGATATATTAGCAAATAAAAAGCTACCACACAATGCCACGGTGCTTTTGTGTGGACGTATCTCACCTCCTGTAGCCTCTGCAGGCCACCCAGCCCCTACTGATTGAGCTTCCTGACCAGAAGTCTCCCTCTGGGCGACTCATATCCTTAGACATCAGGGTTTCTCTGTCACTGCAGGCCAGTGACATCTGGCCAGTGTTGGTTGCAGCCTCTTTGGTGTCAGGTGGACTGTCTTTCCCTGGTCTGTTTGGTCTCATCTAAGCACCTTTCACTCTTGTCCAGCAACCTATAAGGGAACAGCAGACCGATACTTCCGGCCTTGACACCTGCTGGGTCTAAAGTACCAGGCACCCTCCAGAGAATGATGACCAACTTGACTTTGAATGTGTTGTGAGGGACTTGGCTTTTTGAACAACTTTAAGAAATAACAGGAGTCATCTGAGAAAGACTCTCGAGTGAATTACGTTGGAAAGAGACATGCAGCCTGTGGCTGCATTGTGGTGGACACTACCACAGGCTGTCATTTATGACAGGAAGTGGCACGGGGAGTGTGACAGTTGTGAACAAAGCCACGGACTGTGGTTGTGGTGGTGTAAGGTGTGAGGCAGGCTGGGGTATAGCACCATAACTGAGTCCTTCAGGACTGAAGGACCCTTTGTCTTTCTGAAGCACCCCAAACCACCCTGGCTGATCACCTCTCTGTTTATCTCTGGGGACCCTAATATCCAGCAGAGACTTTTCTGCACCCTGCCGTCTTGCAACTGGTTCTAGTTGTCAGCTGTCTTTCTCTTTTTTGTGAGATTTCAGAAAAGTAACTATTTTGGTAGATGTCTAAAGGATGAAAAGCTGCCCTGACGCAAGGTCAGGTCCAGGCAGATCGGACTCCTGCCATAGTAACTTAGGGGTCTGGTGTGATCGTTCTTCACTGCCCTTCCGTCCCCACCAAAAATGACATAGGGGACATTTAGATTTGCCTTGAGTTGTGGCATGTCGCCTCACACTTTTCATCCTCTCTTGCAGATGCTTTTGTGAACAGCCAGGAATGGACTCTCAGCCGATCTGTCCCGGAGCTCAAAGTGGTGAGTGGCACCTCTGGCCTGTGGGAGGGAAGAGGCTAGAGTAAGTGTGCAAGCCTGCCCATATCTACCCTCTTCTGTTTCCTGGTTCCTGAAGAGTGGGAGCTTGCTCCGTCTGGGGTGTGTGCACCTGGGCAAGGCTATCACTGGCAGTAGGGAGCCAGAACTTTGAGTGTGCGTGGAAGAGCCGTAATTGTCATCCAGCAGGTGGTGTCTGTGTACATTCCCCAGCCTGGTCTGTGCTGCTCTGTGTCCGCGTCACACACATGCACTGTATACACGTGCCACTGTGGACTTAACCTGTCCCTTATTGGGTGTTATGACAACCTCTGTAACAAGTGGTCCATAATCATAATTTCTGTCAAAAAGTAATGACTGTTTATATAACTATGATCTCCTGGCATAAGTTAAGAGTTCTGCTGTTAATAAAAGCAGCTTCCAGCAGAGTTAAAGCTTATAGCTGGCTTCTGTGAATGTTGTCCATTGCAGTTGCCTCTTAGAGCCCAGCTCCGTGACATGCCTCCAGCCTTAGCATGGACGGAAGGGATGCCCATATTTTAAATAATTGTGTTGTTTGTCATGAAATGTAAGGCTCTTATTCGCGTATGTATTCACATGCACACATTCTCTCTTCTGTTTTCCCTGTGTTGGACTCTGACTTACCTGCTAGAAGACAGATGAGCCCCTGTCCGTTAGCATGCATCAGGTGGTGGAGGACCTCAGTGTGGCCCGCCCACTCATTGTGCATCTTCCCACCCTGTTCATCCTTTCTCCTGCCAGCTCCCTAGTGACCTGCCTCAACCTCCAGGACCCCACATTCCTCCTTCATGCTGCCCAGCCTCACTGATGCAGAGAGGATGGGATAAGGACTTTTATGTCTCACCTGAGATGGAAGTGAGCCACTTCCTCTAGGACACTGGTGCATCTCAGCAGTGCCGACGAATGGGGCTGTTCTTGAAAGACAGCTGTCCTCCTAGTCTCTGGGGCTCTACAAGGCTGCCCCTGAAATAGTCTTCTGTGCTTCTTAGCTACCACAACTTGTACAGTATTAGAATGTTCTGGAAATACCTGATGAGTGGATGACCCAAAGGTGCCAATGCCATTAACGGGACTTTTTTGTAAAGATTGGTCAGTTTTAGATACTTTTGGTAAGAAACCCAGGTGCTGACTATAGTCAGTGACAAACAACAAGACCAGGGTGTTTCCCACAAGGTGTTTATGAAGTACACACTCCTGGGCATGCCCTGCCTGCAAGTTTTATGTAATTATGGCCTTCAATCCTGACAGTTACCCCAGAAGGGGCAGGCCCTGTTGTCACCGTGTCACAGATTAGGTTTGGGGCATGAGGAGCTTCTTCAGAAGCTGTCTAGAGTAGGGTAGAGCTGGGATTTGAAGCCCGCACTGCCTTGGAGAGCCTTCTGTGAATCTGTCCCCACTGTTGCCATAGCCTCTGGCCCTAGGTTTTCATTTAAGTCAGAACAGCAGCAGGGCGGGGTGGGGTGCTTCAGCCTTTTGGCAGCATAAGAGATGACTGGAACTGGGGTTACTGGAGCTTTTCTTTCTGAGAGCCTGCCTGCACTTGAAGGTGTTGCAGGCTTTGGGGCCTGAGTGGTTTTTGTTTGGCTGGTTTGGGCTTTTTAAGGCAGCATCTTACTTATGTCCTTGGCTGCTGTGGAACTCACTGTGTTGCCCAGGCTGGCTTTTCATTCACCATCTTCCTGGCTCAGCCTCGCAAGTGCTAGAATTAAATAGGCTAGTGCCACTATGCCTGGTCTGGTCCACATATTTTTATTAGCCAATAATAATTGAGAATGAGCCAAAAATTTATTTCCTGCATGTGACTTTCTGTTATAAGCATTTGGTATGTCTAGCAAGTATTGACATTTTAAAGAGACAATGTAGGGTTCTTCTAAATGTGAGTTTGTTAAAGCTTGATTGACTTGAGGTCACTATGATTGACTTGTCCTACAGTCAAGGGCTCATCTGTGGTTTGAGGGCCTTGAGCTCTGCCGTGGTATGCGCCCTCTCGTGATGGCATCTGCAGGCACCTCGTTGTCCAGGGCACCTCAGCCTATCCTTATGTAGTGAGGATGCTCAGGTCTGAAGAAACACCTTTTTGTTCCATGAAGCATTTCCCTTCCCACAGGGCTGTTACTATTTCTGCCCTCATGCAGCTCCCGAGGTGGCCCTTTAGGACATTGCCTTGGGACCCTCAGCCCTGCTTGGAAATGTAGCCATGGAATGATGTCACTTTTGTGGAGTGTTTTCCAGTGAGTCTTTTTGAATCCGACAGGACACACAGTTCACTGTTGCTCCTTGTGAGAGTGGTGAGCCTCTCTGAAGTTGTGGTGTAGTTGTCTTCAGCCCTGCAGCTTTGTGCCGGGCTGTGTAAGCTCCGTGTCTCCGCCTGGGTGAAAGCAGCAGGCAGACCTGGCCTGTAGAGGCCACTGTCTGTTTTGCTTATACTCTCAGCTGGGGTTTTTAACTAAAAGGATCCTTTTGTTTTGCAGTAGAATCGTGTTTAGTAGTTGAGTAGAAAACGTGGGGTGCTAGAGAGTTGAGTTTATGAAGGTGCTGTGCTTTGCTTCTTCTGGTAGACAACAGGGGGCACAGAGCCTTAACTGATGGCTTGCACAGGTGAGGCAGGTGACAGCTTCTGTCTGATGTACCCAGCTCTGTCATTATCAGGGCACCTCCTTTCTGTCCATGAAGCCCATTGGCTGAGTTATTTCCTTCTATTCAGGTGACATTCAGGAGTGGTTGTCACAGTTTCACAGGAGGGCCACATCCTAACAGATGGTAGTTTCTGCCAGTTTTTCAAGTAAAAACAGTGCTGCTTACATCTTGTGAGATGGGTGTGCAAGCCGAGCAACCTCCATCCCCAGCCCAGGGTAGCTGGCACTGGCCTGGTCAGGGATGTGCTGTACCTTTGCCTATTGTTGCTGAAAAGAGTGGCTGGTGTCACCACACAGAGACATCCCAGCTGCACAGTGCTGGATTTCTTCCTCCAGGAAGAGAAAGTGATCTTAATTAAACATTTCATTTCTGTGGCATATACTGACTTGGATTTTTCTCAGCTTGAAGCTGACAAACAGCAGGTACCCTTGAGCAAAAGAATAATTAATAGGCAGATACTCTCAAATTGTGGAGGCTCAAGGTAGGAAGATGCAGGCTTGGAGAGGAGACAGCTTTTTGCAGGAGTTGTCCTTATGCTCTGGCCCTCAGCCCAGCTCTCAGTGTAGAGAGAGCTCATTTATACTCACTAGTGTTAGTCATTCATCAGCCATTCACATACCGGTTCCATGGGGGCTGTGCATCTTCCTTGGCAGGCAGAGAACAAGATGAGTAAGGCACAGTCCCTTCCCATAAGGAGTGGCGAGTCAGGTTAAAGGTTCCGTGTGTGGCAGATGTGGCAGCAGGGCATCTCGCTGGCCCCAGGTGAGCTGTGACATGAAAGTGTCCTCACCTGTCCAGGCTGCTGTGACAAGATGTGGTGGTTTGTAAACAAAACCACTGTTTACAAACAGTAAAACCTGTGTTCATAGTTCTAGAGTTTGGAAGTCAAAGGGACCTGCAGATGTGGGGGCTGGTAGGCTTTAGGGGTGTTCTGCTCTATAGGTCACAGGTGCACAGGTGGGATGTTCTTTCCTCTCTCCTGCCTGCTGGGTCACATTCAAATATATGCTGGTTTCTGTGTGGACAGTGTCCTGAGACCCATCCCCTCTCAGAGATCCTGCTCTCCATGCATCTCCTGGGGCCTGGGGAACACAAGCATTCAGAAACCAATAGACATGGTCTTAGAGGTTGTGATGGCTGAGCTGGCTGCCAGTCCTGAGCCTGGAATATGATTTGGGGCTCTGATTAATCAGTGTGGAAAGTTCTAGTCACCTGGAGACAGCAAACCCTGTAGAGATGAGATTGATAGTGTGTGAATATAGACGACAAAGCCCGGAAGTAGGAAGCAGAGGGCTGCAAGCATTGCAAGCATTGCGAGGGGGTCAGGACAGCCTGTGGGTGTGGAGATGGTCACACAGACCAATCGACTGCGGGAGCAGTTGGGACATCAGGGACGAGTGTGGGATTCATACATGGTCACGGAGCAAAAATTAGAATGCACAAGGCTGCTGAGTGGGGCAGCTTCCTGGAGGGAGCGCGGGAGAAGTGCAGGGCTCCCAGCAGAGCCAAGTGTCCTATCACCAGAACACAGGGGTCAGCCTTGCCACCCTGGTTGTTGGTGAACAGTGGCACCCACACCACCCTTGCCCTCTCCTGTTATTTTCTACCCAGTGTGATCACCTTGACTGTCCCTGCCACAGCTTGGCTGTTGTTTTTCTCTTAGTTGTGTGTTTTTGAGAGGCAGGCTTGCTGTCTCTACTCCCTTCTCAATCCCAGTTACCCTGCCTCCAGCTTTCTCACGTTCACCTCCTTAGGGTAGAATGTACCAGATGGCTCAATCTGCAGACAGCTCTGTGTGTGGCATTGTGTGTTCTGTGGGACCTTTCCATCTTAGTGTATAGGGAGGCTCCTACACCATGGGCAGTCGAGCCTATACACATGTACCCTGTAAAGCCAGCAGGGGCATTCCCGGAAGAATGCCAGCTATGTTGACACCCTAACAGCACCAGGACTGTAAAGACAGGAACAGCTAAATCAAGGTTGACTCTGTTTCCAATAAGAATAGTTGCTGAGTTCATTTTTTAATCTCTCATTTTAACTTCTATGTGAAAAAAAAAAGCTAAATAAATGATTTAACCACCCCTAACTATTGTCTTTTTTTTTTCCTGCAGGGAATTGTGGGTAACTTGGCCAGTGGCAAGTCTGCACTGGTACACCGATATCTGACAGGCACTTACGTGCAGGAGGAATCTCCAGAAGGTATGTTGTTCGGCAGATGGTTAGTTACAAGCTTAGAGTTTAGGGCTTAAATTTTTTTCTTTAGCATATTCTAAATCATTGATGACCTATGCCAAAGCCATTAGGAGGCCACCAAGCATCAAAGAGACTTAGATATACTTTCCCTCTGATGGGGGCTTAGTGCATTCACTCCAGCAGTTCGAGCATTAACCATGAGATGCTCTTGATCCTTCATCCAGTGCTACTCCTTTGAGTATTGGTCCGACATCTCTCAGATCTGGACACTGACCTTGTAATGCTGATTAGTTGGAAATACCAGCATTTCTAAATGCAGTCCAGATCCCCCACTGTGTGTATTGAGTATGTTCCCTTTATATTGTATTACAGACATGTAATAATCATTTTGCATGTAAATTAGGCATTTCTTTTGCCATTAGACATTTTGATTCTTCTGTTGACATATCCATGTCTTACTGTGGTTCTATTTCTTTTTTTCTTTTTTCTTTATTTTTTTTTTTAACTTTTAAGTAAGATTATGAGAGCGGTAGTATGAAACCCCGTAGTCCCCTTAATCAAAGTGTAGCCCACAAGCCATTTTCTAAAATATATTTTCTCCCCATGTAACCTTTTGCAATCCAACTCTGAGACACTGAATTTCTGGTTCCTTCTTTTTCTTACTGGCTGTTCCATTCTTTGCAGATATGGACGCAGGTAACTATACATTCCTTCATGGCAGTGCTGTCTCGTTCTGGAGCGAGCAGAGGCACAACCTTGTCCTGTAGCGTTCCCTTCCCGCCTCGTTCTGTGTCTCATCCTATTTTGTTTCATTTCACCTTTTTCTTTTAAGTTTCACATTCCACCCTGTTTCGTCCCTTAGCTGTCTTCTGAGCAGTAGTCTGAAGTAGCTTCACGTGTCCCCTGTAACCCATGTTTTAGCCCTTTAACTCTTGTCCTAAAGACCATCTAGAAAGAACAAAGTCCTGAGGGCTTGCTTGGGGCTCTGCCACCATTCTGCAGTGTTTTCCAGCCATGTTTTGAAAGCCTCCTGGCTGTCACGTCAGGGAGACACCCACTTCCCAAATTCTCCCCAGGGATTGATGATTTGGGAAGAGGACGGCATCCAAAGGTTTATGTATGAGACCGAATGGACAAAGACTTGATCTTGTGGGGACGATAGACCCGGGTACTCAGAACTCACAGCTTGGAGGAGGGAGGAAGATAGTATCTCTTACTCCCAGGACCCACCAGCCCAGGCTTTCCTCTCTGTGTCTGAGTGTGAATGATCACCACAGCCAGCTTGACTAGACTTGGAGTTGGTAGCACTTCCGTCTCTGGACTTCTATGTTGTGGGACTCACTGTCATGCAGTTGGTAAAATCCAGCCACCAAAGGTCTGCGCTGACCCAGCTGCAAGGCAAACATATGCCTTTTCCAGCCAGCCCTGTTTTGAATGCCTTTCTCATCTACATTTTGGGCTAGGATTGTTGGAAGTTCTAGGCCAGCCCAGCCCCTGGTTCTCCTGGTGTCTCTCACTGGCTCAGATTTCTAGGGGTTTAGAGGTGGGTTGTACTGTAGTCGCTGATTCTAAAGGAAGAGGCAGGACCACATCTACATTTGATCAGTATTGTGGTGTCAGTCATTTCCTGTTGGACATTCAGTCTGTCCTAACACACCTATGTCTGACTTGATTTATTTGCAGTGTAGACTATGACCTTCTATTTTGATCAGCACAGTGGTGTTTCTCTTGATTGTTTGCACATCAGAAGTAAAAATTTTACCCTGTGAGATGAGATGCTAGCACTCCCTCCCCCTCATCTGCAGAGTGGGAGTTTGCCACCGCACTGACAGACACACAGCTGAGGACTCTTGGATCTGAGAGACAGAATTCAGGATCTCTCTCACACCCTCACCTGCCCACCTGTCCATCCTCTGACTGGGGACCTTGGACCTAGGGCAATTGTTCTGTGTGATGGAGGACAGAGTGTACCTGGCAGGATACAGCTGCATCTCTGTGAATGAGGAGGCCTCTGTGTTACTGGAACCCCTTGGCCTGGGAAGGTCTGTTTCCCATGAGCTGCCCTTGTGTTGCTGTCTGGGATGTAGCAGGTAGCAGTTACTGTCTTTGTGCTTCTCAAGATCTGACAGTTGGTTTCTGTTCCCTGTCCCCATGATCCACGGGTCCTATACCAGCAGCAGGACGCAAAGGGACATGAGGTCATCAGCCTTTGGTTCCTCACACTGCTGCTTTGCAATCCCAAGATTCTTCTGTGGGGTCAGGGACCTTAGAGCTGGGAGATGGTTGCTCTTTTCCCCATGAATTAGTGTAGCCATCTACCCATGCTAACAGAATTTGAAAAACTGTATGTAAGGGCTGCAGGATCAGCATCTGTTTTACTGTCTTTATCCAGCAGTGTGGAGTCCTGGCTGGTGGGGGTCTCAGGTGTGCAGGAAGTTGTCAGAGAAGGCTGTAGCTCCATCTTCCCATCAGGAACTCATTATCACCCACGTGGGAAGGTACAGCTGTGGAAGGAGAACTGTGGTTGGTGCCTGGCTGAAACTGTGCGGCCCTCCAGTTTCTTGTGTTGCTGCTGCCCTCTGATTTGTCTCTGTGACACTTCATTTTCCATGACTATAACAAATCCCCAAGGTTAGTTGCTTTTGAAAACTGGTTTATTTTTAGTTTAGCCTGCATTTGAGAGGCTGAATGTCCAAGATCAGTCAGCTCCATGTTTGGCGTCTGGTGAGGGCCTTATGGTGGTATCACAGTCAGAGCATGTATGACAGAGACATGACGAGACAGGAAGCTACAGTGTGGGATGGGATCAGTGTTGCTCTTTACAACAATGCTTCCTCCTGAGAATGAACTATGACCCCTCCAGGCCTATATTCGTCCCTTCTGAGCTCAGCATCTTCAATGAGTAGTTTCCCTGCACTGTTACCCACCTGTTAAAGGAGTCAACGCTGGGAAGCAGGCTTCCTCTCCGCAAGTCTTTGCATACCCACTCAAACCATGTCCAAGCCATAGATATCCCCCAATGCTAGGGCAATCAGCTGGTCAGCTGCCACTCTACCATCCACATGGCTGTGTGTCTGCCAGTCTGTGCAGCTCACTGGATTCGCCCCATTCTTGGTCATGAGGTATGGGGTTGTTCCTTTGGTATAATACATACAAAAATATCTTTTGTTGTAATCCTCACTTGCCCATGAGAGGTTTGGGTATTGAGAGGGATAATGTGTCGAGGAGCTTAGAACAGAAATCCACTCTTTGAGAAGAGAGCTTCCCCTTGGCAGGAACTTTCCTGGTGCAGTCATCCCAGAGTGTTTTCTTCAGATGCCTCTCAGCAGCGCCTCACAGGGTGGCTCAGTTGTGTTTTCTTGAGTGACACCTTTTAGTTGACACATTATTCTGTGGGGGAAGAGAATTGACCGAGAGCCTTGGAGATGCAGTCCAGAGAAAGCATTTCATGCTTGATGCTACTTTTAATTAGTGACTTAGGGCAAATAGTTAGTCTCAGCAAGGAGTCTGTGATCTGTGCACAGAGCTCAGAGACGATAGTTTGTGTATAGGTGGTTGGTCTCCTTCATGAGAGTGTATGAGCGAGTGTATTTGTAAATGTGTGTCTGTGATGTATAATTGACAGCAGAGTCCCTGGAAAGTCCCTTGGCAACTTTGCTTCCTTTAGGAGACAGGGCAACTCTCGTGGTGGTGTTGAATGGTGGTATCTGCCCTCTGATTTCTCCCAACTTTCATTGACTTTAGAAGTCCTAGGTGTCCATGGCTATTGACACCCCCTCTAGCCTCGGCCTCTTGTCACATCTTGTTTCTCCATGTTGTCATTTCCTCTTTCCCAGGAGAAGAACACCAGTGGGTTGATTCATGGTCTAGCCTCCTCTAGTGTGGCTTCAGTTGGACTCTGATAACTCCAGGCTCTGTTTCAGATAAGGCCCCACTTGTTCCCAGCATGGGCTTTTGCTGTTGTTGGGTTTGTTTCTTTTTGGTTTGTTTGTGGAGACCCACTGTGTCATCCAGATTGAACCGTAGCCGCCACCCCAGCCTCCTGAGTGTCGAAGGTACAGGTGAGAGCCACTACAGTCGGCTTAGTGGTGATGGTTAGGATGAATCTTTTTGAGGACTCAGCTCTACCCCATTTGTATGGTGTTTAACCAGGCACCATACCCAGAGCTCTGGAAGAGGGCTCCCCCTCCATCTCCTCTCCTGGGCATGGGCTGATTAGTGCTGCTGGCATTTGAGTCCCACAGGACCACCAGCCTGGGTGTGACCTTCACACCTCCCTTTCAAGGCCCTATTAATAGCTGCTAATTAGAGTTGTGAGCTGTGTTTGTGATTTCACTTTCCCCCTCATGTGTTAGGTGCTTAGCATGCAATGTGCACCCGCCTTCCCTCAGACTGAACCCTTGTGTTTTAAGTGAATCTTAACTCTCTGTGGGAGAGAGAAAGAAGAATCAGCTTGTCAGCAGCATGTGGGAGGTGTTGGGAATCAGGTCTTATCCCAAGACACTTAGCTTTGTGTCCTCCAGGCATGATAGGCCATGGGCCCTGGACAGCCTCTCCAGGTCTTGTTTCTTCCTGTTTGTGGATTGTGGTCCCCAAGGGCTATGCAGATGGAGGGACACAATGGCCTCAAGGAGGGGGACTGGTCTGTAGTGATGGATTATAGAGGACTTTAATGTTAAAGGCAACAAACCTAAGAATGGACATAGCCTGCCTTCCTGCAGTGGGAGCATTGATCGCCCCCAGCTGATACTTCTCACCCGCAACCTGCTGATGGGACAGTATTGAAATTGTGGGTTGAAGTCGTGTTTCAGCAAACCCCCTTCTTTTACCCAAATCCAGAATAAACAAACCCACATCTGGGTAAAATTTGCAGTAAACGGAGGCTGAGTCCCACCTGCTCTAGGGCTCACACAGTCCCTGAAGACGTAGGACACCAAGGCACAGTAGGCTCACTCCAAGAGTGACTGTCACCTGCTGCAGCTGTGGAAAAGGCTGTAAAGAAGTGACACATCCAGGTGTAGCGTGGGAGCACATGGGCCCGCTGTGCTGTCCACAGGGGTAGAATTCATGTAAGGCTGGTTTCTTTTGCCCCTGCTTTTTTCATTGCTCATTACCTCTTAGCCAGTTCAAATTTGGAGGCCAAAAGCTTTAAGATTGTGGTTGTCCTGCCTCTGTCTAGGCTGATAGCCAGTAGGTTCCTGGCCAGGGGTTGGTGTGATGGGGCACACCTCTAGGAGCCCTGTGTTGGCCCCACCTCTCTGCCCCAGCTCTGTTTCTGTACTCTCCTGACTATCCCAGAAATGATTGCACATACCGGCCTCATGCGCAGTACCCCAACCACACACACAACAGTCTGGAGATCCCCACATCAGGTTTCTTCTCCCCTAGAATCAAAAAGCAACTAATCCAAAGTCTGGTCCTGAGTCACCCATTTTGGCACAAAGTAACCCAAGAAAGCCAGAGGACAGTCAGAGAACAACAGGCGGCTCTTTGACTAGGGAGACCCAAGGAAGAGAATGGGAGTGTCTTTCCCGTGTGGAAGAGGAACCTGGTGTTCCCTGCACAACAGAAGAGACTGGAGCAGTTGAGGGCGGTGGAGGAGCCTTCTGCCTGTTAGGAAAAGCTGTGGATGTGTGATAGTCATAGCCCCAGGTGAGCAGGAGATGGGTGCAGTCCTCTAGGTAGGTGTCCATGGG